GGGGGGGGGGGGGCAGGGGGCGCTGGCTATATTTCAGATAGACACCCGCACACGGATACAATACTATTTTTATCAGTAGATCGGAACCAAGTATAAAAACTTAACCGACCGAGATCTGAATGAAAAATGCACATTTTAATACACGGGGCCTAAGGAATCCTGTAAAAGCACAACTGCTTTATTGGCACGCACACACCCGTGTCGGAACGGGGACTGCTTGTTTGTGCTTTCGCCAGCATTGAGTGGTGTTTCGTCGCCGTCGGGCCAGAAGTTAGAGGTCCTCACCGTCCCCAACATTTAGCCACCTCTGGCGAGAAGCCTCCTTCCCGAGGGAAATAAAATACGCGTCGCACTGTGTCGTTTGCGCTTCATGTTTTGTCCAACCCCGGGTCTTCATCTTCGGTGTGTGACAGGTTATCGTTTTAAACGCTCTGCTGCATCGCAGCTTTTTGGAAATACACGGAGACCACGGCCCATCCTTTCCTTCCCCGACTATAGCCCGTCCCACGCGCGTCCCTGACAACTCCGCTCTCCCTTCATCTCTGTCCTGGAGTCGGTGCCCCTTAATGCATCTCGGGCATCTTGCTGCAGAAGCACTCTCTTCCTTGACCCGCAGTTAAACGGCGAGTTTATCTGCCACACAGCAAAATGCCCCAAATAAACCAGATGCCAGTTGGCAAAAGCATCGCCGGGAAGGACTGAAACGCCGCTCGAGAGGCAGGCACCCCCGAAGCTCCCAGGAAGCATGCTCTGTGCCCACCCCCTTGCCTGCGTCTCCCAGAAACTTCAGGGGATGCCAAGGGCTCTTGTCAAGTACTTTTTTCCCTCCCTTAGCCCGGCAAACGGGTGCACTTTGCAGTCTCCTTACAAAAAAAGGCAAAGCACTTGGAAGCGTGAAGGGCAAAAATGACCTGACGGCGACTCTTCAGAAACACACTTTCTTTTCACAAAGCATAAATGTTTGTTTCCCGAGTGGGGTGTTGACGGGAGCTGGCTGCCGCGCGGGCATTTCGGGTGCAGGCCCGCGGGGCCTATTCCCCTGGGCGGCGCCCCTGCGACGGGGACAGCGGGCCCCGCCAGCGCTCAGCGTGGCCCGGGTCGCGCCCGCTCACTGTTTTCCGACCGTAGTTTCTCTGTGCCCCACACGCACAACAAGGACGCTTTTCTACAAACAGCGCATCGTGCTAGCGTTACAATCATGCCGTGATGACTCACGAGGGACGCCGACCGAGTCCACGGAGACATGCTGGTCGAGCGACAGGCCAGAGCTGAGCAGCCACAAATGGGCAGGTGCCAAGGCCAGGGCCTGAATATCTACCTGGTGCCATCAGAACCTTTTTACTCAAAAACCTTCCTTATAAGCGACGATTACTCTTCTGTCTAGATTTCATGGGGACTTAAGCACCAGGTAGGACGCCTCCAGTAATGCCCTTCGAGTCTTTCACTCTTTTTAGACTGACCGCGGCCCAGATCTCCCATCATTCAGATGCAACCACAGCTGGTGGGGCTGAAAC